TGACTCTCACAGAGGGGGCGTGTCTACAGCACCTGTATGTGTGACTCCACTCCTCCGTGATGAAGTGAGCCGTCAGTGTTTTTCCTTCTCATAGAGGCCTGGAACGATCTTCATACTGAAGTGGGTGCGTGAGGGGATTTCGTAGCGTGGCTAAAGCACTTTAACCAGATTTTGAAATTCTTTGTTTTCCACAATGGAGTGTCCCCCATCGCTGACAGACTGGGATGGTGGCGCTTCATAAGTGTGGACATGCCCGATGTTTTGCCGTTGTCGTATGTCTTTCTCTTTAAACAACGCCTACATGCCGTAATGGTTTTGTCCACCACCCTTGTACCGTCATTATCCTCCGCTCGCCGTGACTTTCACCATTATGCTTTTAACACGCTCCGTTCACGTGAACACACTGCTGCTTTATATCTGTTCACTGACACTCTGCATTAATATTCGGGGACTTGTTACTTGAAAAGGAACAGCAGCAGTAGGTACAACTTTATTACACACTATGATGATTAAACTGTAAAAAAAAAAAATAAAAAAAATATTGATCCTCTTCACAAGTGATCCGAACCGGGAGGGGTGATCCAAACAGATCAGTGATCCGTTACACCACTATTAGCTGTAACGTAGTTACAGTAATGGTAGTTAAGTAAAAAAATGTCAGACAATGACCAAGAAGAGGCCATGGACGTGAGTAGCTGTATAAAGAAAAGTTTGAAAGACAACTGGTTAGGGAGTTGTGGTATTTTGTGTGTGAATATTTACAGTGACTGTGTTAAGTTATACATGTAATTGTACATGCTGCAGTTGTCTCTTTTATTTGAATACCCTGTAGACTTCGGCCAGCAGCCAGCAGGATGCTTTGACATCTCCTGACGGGTGTGCTGAGGTAGGTGTTTGTGTGAGCCTCTGAACATTACCTCCAATACCATATAAATAATATGACCTCAGTGTCATGTGCTGAACATGCACAAACAAAATATGACAAAAAAATAATCAATTGGCATTTTTTCTATTGACAGTGGTGTCCTTTACTTTCCGTTTACTATTTTTACAATTCTCTAGAGAAAGTTATTTTCAAACCAGACCTACTGTCTTGATTAGTAATGCATTTATATTAACTGTAACATGTTTTCTGGTTCTGATGACTTTATAATAGAACAAAGAAGAAGTTCAAGTCACTCTCTCAGTCGCGTGGGCAGAGGATTTTCAACAGCAGAAATGTAAAATTGAACTGCAGAAAATTCTTCAGAGTTGGGTCAACAACATAATCAAGAAATACCGTGGAGATTGCACAGTGTTAAGTGTCTCAGAAGATGGGAGTGCTGCGATAAGTCTTAAACCCGCTTCAGGTATAGTAGGAAAGTTACAAATTGAATATATATATGTATATATAGTTCTTTTCTTCAATTTTTTGGGAAATATATTCATTTTGTGTTTGTCTTCTTTTTTCTTTTTAAGCCCTGAGTGAGCTTCAGAAACTAAGTGGACAACAACTGATGGGAAGAGATGGAAAAACAGTCAAAATAATGTCTGTTTATTTGACACCGCGAGAGGTTAAGACACCAAAGGAAGCTTCAGTAAAGCTTCCTCCTTCATCTGTGTCTGAGCAAAATAATGTATGTACTGTGTAGTGAATCTGCAGGAAATGATTTCTTTTGAAAATGAAGGCTTTTTACTAAGTTAGTTCATTGTATTTTCTTCAGGAGAAGGTGCAACCTATGGTGCAGCCTAGTGCAGCTTCTGCAGCAGGAGGGGAGCAGTGCACTTGTTCTGTGAACCATTTCTGGTACGTGAACCACATCTACAAGGAGGAAATCAAGCGTATAGAGAAAGAGAATGGAGTTAAAATCATGGCAGAAGTTAATGTGACATTTCAAGGAGACCAGAAAGATGGAGACCCACAAAAAGCTCTCTCTGAGTTCACAAGCCTTGTCCAGAAGGACTTGGGTAAATCAGATGTCTCAATCATTCCTCTCAAGGAAGTGAATCCAGAAGAGTGGAAGGACACAGTGAATATCATCCAGAGAAAGGACAACAAGCTTTTGCTTACTGTGTCCTCTGAAGAAATGACCATATGTGGGCCAAGACAAAGTCAAGATGCCATCAGAAAGTCCTTAACCGCCACAACAAATACCAGCACTTGTTTTGGAGAGTCTACATGGCCGTCTCAAGACACATCACCGAACATTGGCATGAGCATCAAAGACCCTCTTGTCAATGTTGGACTCACCATGGAGGAGC